ATTTGATTTTATCAGGTTGCAGGTGTGAGAAAAACAATCATCTACTGTCTGACTAGTTGTTTTACATAGTATAAATGATAGACAAGTCATTTAGTTCAGTTGTAGGCCTCTATCAAGGATGGCCAAAATTCTTTGTGATGACAGATAGGTAATTAGCTGCTTATATGAAAGTTTTTCATAGTGGAGGCAGAAAATGATTGTCTGGTTCCTTTAAAATATTAAGATGATAATCTCTTTCTGACTCTGATTCAGACAATGGTATAGGTTTTTGGTATCTGTAAGTATTGAGCCTGCCCTGACATTTTTGCCAGTGAACCTTAGAGGATAAGCTAGATATTTTCTTGCTGCTCTTTTAAAGGTCTTCTCAGTTTTGAAAGTGAAATATGTGAATGTGCGTCGTCACTTAAAGTATCTCAATTAAGTTGCCTCTTAGCCCACCTTTGAATTAGAATCATCTGCCTTGCTATTGGATCCCTTCCTGAGAGGTCCATGTCACTTGCATGCTGATGATTCAGTAGGTCATAATGTTTCGGCACAGTGTCTCACAAATGCTGAAGTCAGATGATGACTATTGATACACGCAGTGGTTTTGTCAGTTCATGTCTGGGTGATGTGAAATAAGAGATGGGTGACATGAGGAAAGAAGAACCTGTTCTCCATCTGTGTGTGAGGCATGTCAGCGGGAGAGTAACCTGGCAGCTGATTAGGTTAAAAAATGACACACTGTGCAAAATGAAATTTCAAATTCAGAAGTGCCTGCTAAATAACTGTATAATTTAACAAGCTAATTATGATTCTTTGCTTCCAAACATGACCAATGAACTAATTCGCCTGAGGAGGCTGCAATGTGGCAGCAATAACCAAGCTGTTACCACAGTGCCTTGGTGCTGCACAGTTGCTGAATACATCCTTTATCATGTAATTACATTTCAGCTGTTGCTAAAAGCAAATGTATTTAGCCATGTGATCATAAAAAGAAATTTTAAGCTTAAATGCTGTTCAAACTTTTAGTTGGTAAGCAGAGTGTTTTTTAACTTGGTACCTTGAGGAGGAAGCTGTTTAGGACATACTCAAACAAATTTTCACGTTCATTGTCCTTCCATCTGCACTTCTCTCATGCCCTGTATTTAGGCAATGCACATCTTGAACTGGATTCACTTCTGCAATTCAAAGCAAGTATGTTAAACTTTTTTTTTACTAAGATAAGTGAAAGTTCATCATTTCAGCCAGCCGTATCTTCTGACTACCACTTAAAACATATTTCTACTGGTGAAATAACCACAAGTTTTAAGAGTACCAAGCCTGAGTACCAACTGAAGTAGGAAGAAGCCAGATTACAGGGACAAAACTAGTAACTGCAGAATCCATGCAACAGATCAATGACAAAATATGATAGAATCTGTTTCCCAAGACTTTATTGATCACCTTTGCTCTTATTACCACACTTCTTCCATCTCTTGCAGCCCTTTTGTTGCACAGAAAATCCATGCAATAACTCAGAATCCTGTTATTTCATGTGTATCTAGAGTAGTAGCTAGCTCCAGCTGATGTTTCTGGAACTCCTCAGTTTTATAAGATGACGCCCTTAGCTCTCAACCCAAGAAGCCTTGTCAGCATTTCTGCCACAGTTATTCTTGATTTTAGCCATCATACTCCACTTCTAGGTCCCTAATTCTCTGAGCCATCCTCCTCAGAGGACACTGAACGTGAAAATTTGTGTGAGTATGTCCTAAACAGGTACATAGAATGACCCGATTTAAACCAAGTATCTATCTTAATGTAATTGGGCAAGAAGGATGGTGGGGATATCTGTGGTGTCTCTAACAAATTAGTATTTTCATAGATTCATAGATTTCTAGGTTGGAAAAGACCTTAGAGATCATCGAGTCCAACTGTCCCTAATCCCCATTAAACCATATCGCTAAGTAGATCATCCACCCTATTCTTAAACACATCCAGGGATGGGGACTCAACCACCCATTTTACAGCTTTTTAAGATAGATGAATATTAGACATAGCTGTTGAAGCGTTTCGTAGTGCATATGAAACGCTTTTTGTGGAGATAAAGTGATTAATTAGTTGACATGCATTCGGATCTTCAATATATTTCAGAAGACAGGACTAAAACGATGTTCCGAGTTCCTTACAGAAAGCTGCATTGGATCTATGAGAATAGCGCTAAAATACACGCTTAAGCAGAATGCCTTATATTTGAATCTGCTGTACTCTCCAAGTGGTTTTAAAGGAAAAAAACAAAGCAGTATATAGCAGATAATTTCCTTTTCCTGACTGGCTCTATGGCTCTGTCTGTATTTAACTTGTATGGGTGGTATCCAGATTAGCTTGACATGGGCATAAACTGCATGGAGTTACTATGGCTTGTTTGCACTGTACTTCTCCAGAGGTCACTAGAATTTCGGGGTTGTGTCTCTCCGTTTTGCTTTGCTTTGGATGCAGTGTGTTCGATTCTCTGATGCTTTGCGAGAGGAAAAGGGGGAAATAATTTGGATGTAGTGGGCACTTGAAGGCAGAAACCATCAAGCAGTCAACTTCCCTGTTTGCAGTGAGAATATTGGTTAACTTGTCAGCCTGAGTGAATGTCTGTTTGGACTTTAGCCTCCAAACTTTGAGCTGCCTAGTCCGGGTTGGTAGGGCATCACAAACTTAGGATAAATTTGTGCGTAGAGGACATTGGTAAAGTTCTTCCAAAGAAGCATGTGGGTTGTTTTGTGTGCTGTTTTTGTTTTATTTTCCCAAAGAGTTGTTAATGTCGTAGGATGATCTGTAACTAGGGTGATCTGGATACTAAAGAGCTATTAAAGTCTGCTGCTACTTTTCAAAAATATTTGACTTTTGGTGTGAACCAGGTCTTCTGTTTTGAAGGGTGTTAGCCTGACATAACACTTCAGTGTAAATATTATGTATGTTATTGTTTTAGTCTGTTTTGGGTTAAATTGGTCTTTAAAACTGCAGGTGTGTGCTGCTGTAGAGATACATTTTTTTCTGGTGTAGGAAATGTTGATTGTTTTTTTATTTTCACATAACCATCAATATTGAGGGATACTTTCTCTTATTTTCTACTGTATCAAAGCAATATGTTCATAGTTTTTCATGTTTTACTCCAATAGCCTGTGGAATTGATTTCTGTTGGTGGGCTTTTGGGAAGGCACTGAAGGTCGACTTCTCTTTCAGTTTGGCCTTCAAACAGCAAGAAAGCATTGTGGAATAGCGAGCCTTTACACTAGGGAAGGAAAGAAGATCTTACGGAATGTATACAAAATTTCCCTGTTGACTCATGCATCTGATCGGAGGCAGGAAATGAAGACTTGTTTCTGTTATGAATGTCATCAGTCAAACTGGAAGTTCTGGGTAGCTGTTGAAATGGCCATGTTGAAGGCAGCTGATCTCATTTTAGCCTGCAGCATGGAGAAGGTGTTGCTTTTAGCTTTCCCGAAGTTTTGTGCTCTTCTGAGCTTCATAATGTCTTTTCTGTCAGTGTAAGCATTGCTAAATATCTTTTCTCAAGCTGCTATTTGGAAGAACAAATTTTGCCAAATTGGAGATTTATTGACTTGAATTTGTAATTCCTGCAGGTGCTGTGAAACTTTACATATAATCCTTGCTTAAGGTGAATTCAATTGCTTTCTTTAAAGCACTGGTAAAGATTGAAAGGTAGTGTGGTGAATGGAAAATTAGATTAGAATAAAAAAAATTGCCCAGAAAGTCATTTTTATAGTTTATTCTGAGTGTAATGCTGCAGATAGTATTTTCTTATTAACACTCCTGTCTTTGCAGTGTTGGAGTCTATTTTCCTCTTTCACTGTGGAACATATACATGAACTGCTATTTGATCTGGTAGATCAGATTAAACCCCAAACTAGCAGTAACATTTCTAGAAATAGCTCAGTGGCAAACATTAAAAGCAGGCATTACAAATTGAATAGAAATTTGTCCTTAGAATATTTCTTTTATTTGCATATGTCTTGTCCTCTCTTTCCTAACCTAAGTTACTGAATGAGGAATAATGTCATTTCCTGTGCTTCTCTTTGAGGGGGAGGGGAGAGAGAAACATGTTGCCTCATTTGTTTTCTGCCTTATGTTTTCCTTTTTTTTCTCCTTTAAATTGATGAAATACTATTTCTGTCCTACCACCTTGTATTTTCATTCCTTAAATGCTGCCTGTAAAATAAAACTTCCTGTTATTTTTATAAATACTTTAACTTTGCAAGCCCTCTGTGTATAAAGTGATTTGCAGAATCTGCTACCCATACACAGGGTGGAAAAAGTAGTGCAGTGGCAAGTTTATTAACATTTAGCTAAATAGTTACAGCCATATATGCATCTGTTGTCCTAGGTGTATTTGAGGGTGGAAACAGGATTGGTGCTGGTGTGAACACTGCACTGAGGAACATAGGTGGATGTTTCTTTTCTCTGTGGTGGTGTTTTGGTTTTTTTTTGTGTCTCTCTGGTTTCTGTTATAAAATAGCAAGAGGAGAGAGAAGACATTGTGTCTTGGCATATTCTAAGGTCTGCATGTGAGTAGGCAGCAACAGCAGGTCTTCCACCTGGTTTCACTGCAGTCCTTGAGCACAAATCCATAGGAAGAGCTCTAGGACAGATAAAATAGCATTATCTTAACTGTTGTGCAGATCAAAGCTCTGAATGATCGCTGTCTGCTATTACATAGTAGAGTGGAAAAGAGCTTAGGCTGGCCTCTGCCGTGGAAAGAAGAAGCTCTTTTGGGACGGAGACGTGCTGTTTAGTTTTTTGCTTTCTTTCATACCTGTCTACAAGTGTTGAAAAAACTTCATGTTATGGGCAGGTGCCGAAGCCCACTAGTAGTTATTTTTAGATTTCTTGTCACTCTGTAGCACGTCTGTTCAAGGTCAAGGAAGTCTGAAGACTCTGAAATAAAGATCAGTAGTCCTAACATTTTAGGGTAAGTATCTGCCACTCCTCTGATAGGCTTAGTGAGTTACTGACTGCTGTTGAGATCCAAAATGGGTATGGTGGAGGTTAGTCTTGAAGAGGTTAAGCGAGCTAAATATTTAGGCATTGTTTCAGGAAGAGTGCATTATCTTTTAAATGCAGCCAGTGTTCATAGGATTGTTCCACTTAGGTCCTTATTTGTTTGTGTTTAAGTAGATATGTGACTCCTGCTTTTTTTTGCTCACCCACTGTGTTCTTTCTATGTTCTTTGTGCTGTAACCGTATGAATGTCTTTGCTTTTTACAATTAGCGTGGAAGTCTGGAAGTGCAGTGTATTCTTCTAAGCATGCAGCAATAGTGAATTTGTATTGAGATGCAGCCTAGTAACTTACATGCTTTTTTGATCTTTAGTATGTATTAAATTCAGTGTTTTGTGTATTTCAGATGATAAAAAAGATATTGACCATGAAACAGTGGTGGAAGAACAGATCATTGGAGAGAATTCTCCTCCAGATTACTCAGAGTACATGACAGGGAAGAAACTTCCTCCTGGTGGAATACCTGGCATTGACCTCTCAGACCCCAAACAACTGGCTGAATTTGCTAGGTAAGTAGGAGGAAAGGATCTTTAAACTAAAATGGTTTTCTTTTCATTAGTGTGATTATGAAACTGTTAGGCAAAATAAATGGTAGATTTAGTATGGCTTATGGTTCCATTTAATCATCTTCTGAAACAAGGGACTTAATTCAGAACAGAGTAGTTGATACTGTGTTAAAATAACTGGGTTTTATATTCAGCAGTGACTTCTTCAGTGAGTTCTGATCTTTAGTTCTTGTTGGGTAAGACAGGACCTAACTACATTGATAGACTGCGTCTTTGACATGACAGAATGTCTCTTTCATGTGGGTAGTCTTAGATTCGTCGGCACAAAAGGATCCAGAAAGTGAAATGGTACGTTCAGGTTGTTCAGAACAAGAAAGCCAGACTACAATATTTAGTTCGTAAAGCCACATACTGTTCTTTTTCACCTGCTTCTTACTTCTTAAGCTCTAGGTCTTAAGCTTCTTTTTAATGTAGTCAGGCATCTTGCGCTTTCAAGTGCCAGTGATAATTGGGGTTTCACAATTGGTAACTACTGCTTGGATTTTCCTCTTAATGAATCAGAATTGTCGCTCGTTTTACATAACAACACATTGACCTGAGTTGGGAGGTGACTTTCGCTTTCAAACAGGTGGACTGACGGCAGCTCTGTTCCTCGGGGGAATACGGAAAGTGTCATGTGTCTCTTCCCGCCCCCGTCCCTCTGCAGAGCCGCTGGCTCTGGTACCGAGTGCTCAGGGCAGGCGGTGGCCACCAGAGGGCAACCGTGAGGCCATCAGAGAGGTCCGCTTTGGCACCTGCCAGCTGGGACGTTAGGGTCGCCTTTGCAGAGTTCACTTTGTCCGCTTGTTTGTGTGCATGTGCTTGTAATTACCAAAGGCATACTCCTCCGCTCAGTGCACGGGCAGCGTTAATGCTGGTGTCTCCAAATATTTGAGCACCACTGGTAGCTTCCTGCAGCTGCTATAATCGTTTTTTCCCCATGTTGAAAGCAAAACGTATTTATGAAGCGTAACTCATTTTCATTTTGTTACCAGCTGGCTGTTCTTCAGAGCAATGGTGCAAAATTCTGACACTAAGAGCAGGTGGATGATCAGATGTTGTTACTCTTACTTCCTGGGTCAGCTAGTAGAGGGAGAAGTAAACCTTTTTTTTTTATTTTATTTATTTTACCACTGGTGTTTTCAGCCAGTTGCTAGATGGTGGGGACTGTTCAGACAAGTTCTGGTCTGGCTTCTTGGTTAGGTGGGTCTTCGTGTCCAGGGTGTGCCTCTGCTCTTGTTTTACCTCTTTGATCTTGCTGCTTTTTCAAGCATTTCCTGTTACTCTTCAATGTGTTTGTACCGGACGATTGCCAGTACAACCTTATCCCACAGTTATTTTCAGTAAAGCCATTGAACTATGGATTTTGAAGGCTCCTAGGAAGATAGTTTTGCAGGGCTTGCTTCCTGCTTCAGGCTGTCTGATCTGGAAATGTATCAAAACACATCGTGAACAACTGAAAACAGAATTTTATGTAAAGTGGTAGGTGGTTCTAGCTATTGATAATGTTACTTGTTTTGCTATTGTTGATTGAAATGATTGTTTTCCTCTGAGACCTGCTGAAAGGTTAATAGAATTTTTTGTGCAAGCAAATGTTTAAGTGATACTCTTGAGTGTACATAGCATTCTGATTCTAAAATGTTACATATTTCTGCTCATCGTGTACTTAGAATGGTATTCTCAGTTACTTTTAAATATGCTGAAATCTTCAGTTCTCTTAAACATTTAAGTACCGAATAGCTATCTTCTGTTAAGAAGTTTAAATAGTTTCTCATAGGGTATTCTCCATGCAAATACTGAATATTTTTCTCCAGATTGGTTTGAATTCTTGAAATGGTTCCCAGGATTTGGGCTTCTTGAAATGACCAGATTGCTTCTATCATATCTGTCTGCAAATTTCTTAATATCGTAAAATGTACTGCATCTTCAGGTATTTAGTTTCCTGTTGAGAAAATAGTGGCAACTGACAGTAATTTAAAATTACCACTTCTTTTATTTTAATTCATGGTGGAATGTTCTAAGAAGCTCTAGAGCTAGAATTTGTAGCAGATGATGGAAAGATTGAGTTCTGTGTGTGCAGTCTCTTTTCTGTTAATACATTTCTGTACAGCAGATAAAATATAATCCACTTCAGTCATAAGACAAATATAGTGGTAGAGTAAGCAATCTGGGGGGACATCACCTTTAGCAATATCCCCAAGTTGCCCAAAACCTATGAATAATTGTTCTGGTAGCTTAAGAATATACATGTATTAGAATTTGAATAGTGCTTGTTAAGGTCTTGGTCCTTTTGCAGTGAAGCATGTTGAAGGGACTCCTTTTAGCTAATAACATGAATTCAAGCACGGATATCTACAGACCTATTTTTATACTGATAATTGTCTTGTTGATCTAGGTTGCTGTGTGCAGTATCACTAGAAACCTTGCATGGCTAACTGGAAGAAAAAACTGGGTTTACATCTACTGGAATTGGGTTTGGGTGTCCTAAGAATACAATGGTTCATGCTAAAAGAATGTGTTTACTGTAAAGTTTCAAGCATTGCTGGTTGCTTTACAATTCAGAATTTGAAATTCTCAGTAGCTGTGTTCTGAAAACTTGAGCAGCATGTCAAGTTGAAACTGTTACTTTTAGACTTATTAAGTAGCTTCACGTGCTTCAAGTAAGGTTTTGAATAACAAATTTGTATTTTGGTGACTTGAAAAAGAATTGTGCACAGTCCAAATAGAAGGAAGCATAAACTGGCTAATAAAATTGTATGTTAAGTGTGTTTTGTGCAGTTGAGAGCAAGTTATTTTGTGTTGCTTTCCTGTTTTCATTAAGGTAATTGGAAGAATTTCACTATACATTTGTAGAAGTTAGCCTCTCAAAACCAGGCTGGATTCACTGTTTATATAACCATGTAGCTCATTTTGATTAGGATTAATTGACTGGGACATTTGCATCAATTCTTAGAAACAGAGTTTTGAGGTTAAATTTAAATGGGCAAAGCTTGAATTCTAGTGGTAACAAATTTCAGGCAAGGTTCTGGGGAGTTCTGATCATGGTTTGGTCAGTGAGAAGTAAGGCAGGGGTGGACTTGAAGTCCTCTGTAGCTCTGCAGCCTTTAAATAAAATAAATAAAAATTTAGAACGATAGTTAATTCAGCATCTGCAATGGACACCACTGGTGCTCAGCAGCTTGGTGGCACTGGCAGAGTTAGCAGCTACACTGTCCCTTGTGGTACAGTTGTCTTCTGCAGCTTTTTTTAGTGCATTTGTCATTGAGTCATGTAGCAGGAATCCGGATCCTTTAACTGGAACTATTATAGTAATTCCTGGAAAGGCTTTTATACATTCTAAAACTATTGAAAAAGCTGTGAATAAACAAGCTGTGTCAGAACATTAAGATGTGTTCAGTAAAGCATAGATGAATGACCATAAATTATACATTGTTGGGCAATTTATTGCCTTTTACAAATTATTTCCTTCTATTGTGGGACTTGTGCATTTTCTCTAGTATGCTTTAAAAATGCAATAAAAAAGAAAAAAAATGGATTTCTCTTAGGCAATCATATCAGAATGTGAAATGTTAGTTTGAGCATATCAGAATGCTTAGAAAGAAATAAAACCTAATAAATTAGCATGTTCCCATTTGATACTTTTGACAAGGATACTGGAAATCCCTTTAAGTGAAATAAAATCTTTCATTCAAGTCTAAATTGATTACAAGTAATTCTGTAGTTAGCGGTGAAGAAGTCATAACTTATTGGTAATAAAAGCTTGGGGAAGTAGCAGATGTGTCTCTTAGTTGGTGCATTTGGCAAATTCCCTTAAACAAAGCCATTAAAAAGGATATCCCTTATTTCCCCTCTCTCTCTGTTTTACCCTCCAGACAGATACATGACTGAACTGGCTAAAGACAGCAGAATACAGCCATCAGTAAAACTAAGAAATAAGAGGGGAATATGCTATAGCTGAGAAATGGGCACAGTAATGGGTCCTAGTGGTAAAAACTTTACTTTTCATGGCTTTATCGTTTGCTCTTAGTACCTTTCTGAAGGAAAGCCTTTGTAAGGACTGCTCTTCCTTTCTATCCACTTTCCAAAACAGATAGAACACAAAGGAGAGGAAATGGCATTAGAGTTTGAAATCTGACCCCCTCCTTAAAAGTGACGAAGCATTGTGGTCGCCTAGATTTATGACTTAGGCCTCTTTATAAGGTGTACGCTTTTGTACTGGTTTTGTTCTTGTTAGAGAAGCTTAAAGGGCAGTAAACTAACAATTGCTTCACCCAAAGTGGCGTTGTGAGGAGGGGAGATCTCTTGCTCGGTATCACACTGCAAAGGTCACTCTCTCTGCTTACACATATGATACTCCTCATAACTGGAACAAAACTAGTAATTATTTTTGGCAGAATCTTGAGTTAAAGAGAACTTTTCTTTTTATGACGTTTTCCTATCTGTGACCGAAGCGTGGTAAGACACTGGCTGTGGGCTCTTTGGTTGTAGATAAATTCCTAGGACACCTTGTGCCACTCCTCTTTTGTCTATTTATCTAAAAGCCAGTCTAGCCAGTTTCAGGAGTTCTTTGGTACAAAGACATGTACCAAAGAACTTAGGGCCATGACACTGATGTTATTTCTGCCTTAGCAGGGCAGTGCAAGGGGAATGGCAGAGTGAGGGAACAGATCAGAAGTGGCAGTGACACTTAGGGGTGCGGTCATCAGCACAGGTGAATATCACTGCTGATCATCAGAGACCTCTGGGATGTGTCAAAGGAGTTGCCCAAGAGAGAGTAATGTTGTTAGGTTAGATTTATGTATAGAGGGAGAAGAAAGGATGTGAGAACACCAGTTTTAATAGGGACAAAAAAGGGAGATGACAGAACAAGGGGGGAAATTGTATACTGTTGATGTTTTTAACTTATGAATTTCCTTTATTCCTAGCCTTTCTCTTTCTGTGGCTAACTTTTAAAATTTTATCTATCTACAAGATAATAGGTTGTGGAGATTGACAGAGGTTGGGATGGGGATTGGTTCTGTCCAGGTACAGGCCTTTCAGTTCAACTGAGGAGATGAAAGGAGGTAGTTGGCTGTTACTTTCTGATATTGCACAGTGATGGAGTTGCTTGCTTTATTTTGAGGAACTGATTGGTTTAATACATGTGATTTGACTTAGTCTTCTTTATGTAAGGATAAGAGTGTGCTTTTATGGAGCTCAATCTGTGAAGCTTTTGGGTTGCACACCTTCTGGCTCCCTTTGCTGTCCCCCATTCCCTCCCTCCATCCCCCCAGTACAAGTTAACAGACTTAGCCTTTAATCACAGTGTCCCAGCGCATTGATCCAAAAGGTACATTTGCTAGCTTTTTGCAGTTAGCTAGTCTGCAGTTGCTACTACTAGGCATGGCCCGTATAAACTCTCTGCAGAAGTGAAAATTCTGGTCTTGACATCTAAAATGACTTTCTGCAAAGGCAGCCATTTCAAAAGTTCCACCCAGGTATTAATGTGTCTATGTGTAGATGTTTTAAATAGTGATATGTGTTAGAGTTCTGTTTTTGATTAATATTTCAGGCTAAGAAAACTTGGACGGAGCTGGTAGAGATGCTCTACTGGGTGGGAGCCAAAAGTCTAACCACCAGCAAGAGCTACCTGCAACAGTGTAATTAAGATCAACAGCCCAGGTTCTAATCTGGTCTCCCTTTTGCAGAAAGTTAATTTTAAAGTAAGACCAAAATCTTTTTTCTAATACATTTCAGTAAGTCTTTAAATTCTTCTTTGAGTGATTGTCCATATGGATTCCATAGTGTTGTGAGCAAGACGATGCTTTTGACAAAATGATCTGTGCCGGTGGTGTGCGTGCCCTCATGCCTTTAATCCAAGCGTATGAAAAGCCCAGCAGCTTCTTGCTTCATGTGGCACTGATGTATAAGCTGGACACTGTTTGCTGTCTCCTCCTGTTGAAGAGTCTGCTTCTGATTGAATAGCTTGGTTGCCTGTGAACCCTCTGCTTATACACAGTCTTGTTTAAACTGAAGTTGCCCACTTACCATAGTTCCAGGAGAAATGAAAAGATTTAAAATCTGATCTTTTATTAGCTAAACTTTGTTGTCATTTTATAGTCAATAGGGACTAAATGTTTTTACGTTCAAGTACACTGCTGGGCTGATACTCCTCATTTTGGGAACAAAGGTTGAAAATTAAAAAGTCAGCTTGTTCCAGAATGGACACTCATAATGTTACATGCCTGCTTGGGCACTGAACTGAAAAATTTAAGATGTGTGTTGAAGCTCTGGTCCGTCCCATGTCTGACCATCCAGTTCAGCTGCAGTTTGTTCTTAAGGCTTCCTGACTACACTGATCTAGAAGCTTCCTGACTACACTGGCCAGAATATTTTCCCTCTCAGTCTACTTCAGCAGCCTGTTACAGATGGCACTGCAGCGTTTCTTTCTCAAATATTAACTTAACATCAGAGGCAAGACACAAGAGTTACAAATACGATTTGACACGATGATCAGTGTTATCTTACGCCAAGTGTAAAAAAACGCAGGCACTGCCCACTAAAGCTATCTACCACATCTCTTGTTGGTGATTGCTGTCTAGTCCCTCCCTTTGTAGCTGGTCAATTAACACTTCAGAACAACAGCAGTTTTAACCATTCTCAAGATGTCAGAACACAGATGTTGTGCCTGGGATTTTTTGGCTTTGTTTTTTGGGGCTGGGAGAATGACTCAGCCGGCATTTAACAAGTTGATAGAGTTAGAAGTAAAGGAGGTGTTTTTGGCACCAGCTTTGTCCCCTAAGGGTGTTTGTTCTCTAATAGCATTAAACCTTGGCACTATGTTCTCTCATGTCCTGTCTTGTCAAAGCATTCTGTGTGTCCATTTTGGCATAACAGACTCTCATTTCTCTGCTTTTTCATTTTGTAAACATCATAGAGACATAATAAGGAGAATCCCATTCAAAAGGGTAATTAAAAGCTTTCTGTAGGGGTGCTGTAAGGAAGTTTTTGTATCTGTGTTTTTCTCTAGCCTCAGTACCTGTGGTACTATCAGTCTAGAACCTCATGGAGAGTGTAGTCAGTCAGTTAATCACTTGTTTGTATTTAGGTATTTAATACTTTACACAGCCTCTTTGAGTAAACACAGCACAATCATTCTGTATTTCAATTGAATTATGTAAGCTAAATCTAATTAATAGAGTTGTCTAAGTTGATCTGTAATCTTGGAAAAAGAAAAGTTATCAGGAAGACAAAGATAATTAAGAAGCTGGTCTACAGGAACAAGTGTAGTTTGCTGCGTTCAGGATGTTTCTGCCTTTAAATTTATGAAGTGTTTAGGTATGCTGCTGGCAATGGTGCAGGAGGAGCTTTGTCAACACAAATACCTCATACACGTCTCTAGGAGCTGTTAGTATCTGTAAATAAGAGTATTGTTGGATAGGATACTCTACAGCTTCCATGTTTTTGTCACATCTGTATTTTTAATCCTGCAGGAGACTGCAGTGTTCTGCAGTTAGCACTATGTATACTCAGTGTAATCTGGAGATGCAGAGAGCATCTCATCAGTTTGCAGATGTTGAGAGCAGCCCTGAGGAGAAGGACTTGGGAGTGCTGGTGGATGAGAAGCTCAACATGAGCTGGCAACATGTGCTTGCAGCTCGGAAAGCCAACCATATCCTGGGTTGCATCCAAAGAAGGGTGGCCAGCAGGTCAAGGGAAGTGATTCTGCCTCTCTACTCAGCTCTCATGAGACCTCACCTGGAATACTGTATTCAGCTCTGGAGTCCCCAGCACAAGAAGGACATGGAGCTGCTGGAGTGAGTCCAGAGGAGGGCCACGAAGATGATCCAAGGGCTGGAACATCTCTGCTGTGAAGATAGGCTGAGAGAGTTGGGGTTGTTCAGTCTGGAGAAGGCTCTGGGGAGACCTTCTAGCAGCCTTCCAGTACTTAAAGGGGGCCTACAGGAAAGCTGGAGAGGGAATTTTTACCAGGGCATGTAGTGATAGGACGAGGGGCAATGACTTTAAACTGAAAGAGAGGAGATCTTGATTATATCTAAGGAAGAAATTCTTCACTCAGAGGGTGGTGAGGTACTGGAACAGGTTGCCCAGAGAAGTTGTGTCTGCCCCATCCCTGGAAGTGTTCAAGGCCAGGTTGGATGAGGCCTTGGGCAACGTGGTGTACTGGAGGGTGTCCCTGCCCATGGCAGGGGGCTTGGAACTAGATGATCTTTGAGGTCACTTCCAACTCAAACCATTCTATGATTCTATGAATGTGACAGTACCAGAAAAGACTGGACTCTGCGCGCAAAGGAGTCAATACCTGTGTGGTTGTATTGGAGAGATTTTAGCTTATTTTCGCTGCAGCTCTTGGGAGTTGTTTTGAACATTTAAAGTTGCTGTTTAGCCAGTCTCAGATCAATTATTAAAAATGTGTGAAAAAAATATGTGTATGCACTACTTGGAAATCTCTTCCCCCAGCCTTGTTCTTCCATATCTGTTTCCAGGAACTGAACTCATGGGGTTTAAATCTGTCTAGCATAGCAACAGACGCCTCTCCTTCTTAGTGTTAAGAATAGTGATTCTGATAATTCTAATTCTTTTGTTAAATTCAAGCCACTCTTATCTGTTTAATTGAGACTAGAGAGTACACCAGAAAACCTTTCATTTAACTTACAGATATGATATGTAGCTACCTTGCCATACAGAACTAGCTTGTATTACAAGGAAAAATGGTTCAGGAACTTACGTAAACAGATGAGCTCCCCTTGTACAGCAAGGTTTTGGAACACTCAAAATCTCAATATTTACCTAAGTGAATCTCCAGCTGTGTGAGTTGCATCTGTTTACACCTACCTGCCTCCACCATAAGGTGGAGATGAGCCATTTCTTTTGGATTTTTTTGAAGCACTACAGGCTTGAGAAATGAAGATAGATAAAAGGGCAGTGCTCTTCCCAGGAAAAGTGTCCACATAGCTGACTCTTCTCTGATATTCAGACAGGTGGTTGTTATAGCAGGGATATTCTAACCTTGTTGTCTACAGCGAGTCTTACTGTATTTGAAACATGTAACACATGTAAGGAGCAGTTTGCTGGGCTCCTTGTGTAGTCAATGGAGACTAGTGGTGCCCATAAAGTAGCGGTGAAGATCCCTATCAGCAACCAAGAGTAAGTAGATGACTGCTAAATGTCTTGTTCTGTATTTGAGAGGTCCTTCTGGAAAAGCTGAACTTTCCAAATGCCAAATTATACTGTTGATATTATGAAGGTATTTAAAATATTAAACTGAGTACTGCTGATGCATGTAATACTGTCGAATAAAAGTGCACATTATGTAGGCAGTTACGGGAGAAGAGCTGTCTACTAATGTTTTTCTACTATTTTTTTTTATCTTTAAGAATGAAACCAAGAAAAATTAAAGAAGATGATGCTCCACGAACGATAGCTTGTCCTCACAAAGTAAGTGAAGTGCTTCAGCTTCTGAGTAGTTACTAATTTGTAGATGAGAATTTTGTATTGATGTTTTCTCTTGAGAGTGAGTAACTAAAATATCTCACTGTTAATAGACTACACTCAGTTAACTGTATTTTAGTTACCATTCTTTAGAGACTTCCTTAAAAACCTTTCACTGAATAATATATTATTCCCATTCCTTGTTTTAAGGTTAGTGCATCCCTAATCTTCTGGTAACCATGATGCACAGTCCCTAACATGCTGGTTTTACTGTTGTGATTTCCTGCCACCCAAGAATACATACTTGAAAGAATATTCTGAAAGCTGTTCAAAGTACGTTCCTAAGATCTATATATCCTCTGCTTGGAAACTATGACAGATTGGCAGTCTAGACCAGGAATCAGCAATTTATGGTGCAGATGCTAAAGTCAGCATTATTGGAAGACTTTGAATTACATTCCACAGAGCTGGAAAGTGCATCATCTTGAGAGAGAGAGGCATCATGGAGATATGATTCTGATCCACTGGTAGCAGGGAAGCCTCTGTCTTGAATAAATGTTGCCAGTCACTTAGATTGGTAGCACCTAGCTTTACTGCATTATCCAGCTGTTGTAGAGCTTCTGTTAGCTGACTCAGTCTGTGATGAAAAAAGACAAATACAATCTTGCTGACTTCTGGTCTAGATAAGTATTAGCCTAAACAAATAATCAGGACAGATAGCTAATAGTTAGGGAGCATGAATAGAAAGCTTCTTTTTGACAGCCATAGTCTAAGGAGTTTGCTGGAGTCCTCTTTGTGCTTATATTGATTTCCAGTTCTTCACATTCTACAATTGTTATGTTTTTATTGTAGTACAGTATGTGGAGATACAGGAACAGTTACTCCTTACAATACCGAGGAATGCTGCCTTCATTTCTTTGATTTACTTTTTCATAGCCTCAACTTCATCTGAACAGGGGGAAAAAAAGAATATTCTATCCTTCCCTTTTCTCTCTTCTAGTGTTTCTAGGCTTTGTGCATTTATGACTTCAGTTTAAAAAAGAAAAATATTGTAGAAGGTATAACTGCTCCTCTCAGAGGCAGGCAGGGGCTTTGAAATAAATGCAAAAAAAGGTGATGGTATGTTTATTTTGGTGCTGCTTTGCCTCACCCGGTTCTGTTACGTGCAATAATGGTAGCACAACACTTTTTAAATTAGCCAGAGAAATTCTAGTGCCTCGAGAGAAAACTGTTCGTGAAAGTGGCGCTCATCCCTTTTTTAAGAAGTAAGGCCTATTTAAACGTGGGTATTACTTTTGAAAAATGTAATTTCCAAAGAGGAATCCTGTGGAACTTAAGATTAGCAATTGAATGTTCCTTTAGATTCTGTTGTCAGATTTTATGCCTCATAACACAGTAATGTTGGTGGACTAGTTTTATATAAGTTTAAACAACATCACTTGGAATACAGATAGAATTTACAGTTGTTAATAGGATTCTATGAAGGATGTTGAACCTTGAGGAGGATATTTATAAATCATAGGATAGATGTCTGTTGACTGTCATTAAAAGGTGGGGGGGAAAAAAAAAGGTATAGAAAGATCAGGTAAAGAGAGCCCCAGGTTGCTGCTGGCTTAAGTGTACTCTGGAATCAAAAGTAGTGTTCCTGTGTCAATGCAGCATGGACCCCAAATTTAAGACTTCTGACGCTGTACTTGAGTTCATGTGAGTATGAGCTTTTAGGTTGAGTTGGCACTAACTCAGAGATTCTCCTGACTTCATCAGTTGCCCGGCATCTCTTTGTAGGTTTAAACTGTAGAAGCGGTGGCAGTCACTTTATAGCTCAAGGTGTTAGAGATCAGTCCGCTGCTGCCAGTTTGGACAGGGTAGTTTCCGTAAGCTGTTAACGTGCTGGAAACCCTCTTGCTCCATTCCTTCTCAGGAATGAGAAGGACCAAGAAGGAAGAGGACAAAATGTTGGGAAATGGAGTAGCGCACATATGGTACTAGAGAATAATCTGTAGTATATTAGAGACTATATCGTTGTCATACTACTATGTTGTAGTACTGTAGTACTCAAAAGATAGCACATTGAGGAATATGCCACAGGTATCCATGAACTATCATTCTGGGGTTTGTTTCCCTGAAACTGTAAGTGCTTTTGTTTGGTTTATTCATTTGCTTCTATCAGAGCTGCATCTTCTCCATGAGACTGTCCTATTATTCATTTAACTGCACATGGTTTGTTATACGAAGTGAGTAGAGGGTGGGTTTTGGGTGGTTTTTTTTTGTTTTGTTTGGAATCACAGGGTGTTTTTGTCAGCTTCTCAAATGATTAGTTTTCTTGGTATTTGCTTTTTAAAAATATATGTAAGGGATGTCCTTTTCAGGGCCAACTTTTAAGAAAGTGTTCAGGATATAAAAGCATTTTAAATGCCTGTACTGTAGCACATATAACCTTCTTTATCAAGACTAGCTTATTTACTAACTGAGTTTCACTGTTCTTTTTAAGGGCTGCACAAAGATGTTCAGGGACAACTCTGCCATGAGGAAGCATCTTCACACTCATGGCCCTCGTGTACACGTATGTGCAGAATGTGGCAAGGCCTTTGTGGAGAGCTCAAAACTAAAGCGACATCAGCTAGTTCATACTGGAGAGAAACCCTTTCAGGTATTGTTAACCTCCAGGCATAAATACCACAGTTTATTTGTTAAATGTGTGTAACTGTAGCCTAGCTTCCATATGACTTCGGGGATACTATGTTTTTTCTAAAATCAGACGAGACTGAGTGATCACCTTAAAAATTGAAAGTCCCCTTAAGCTAATTAGACTATTGTTTAACTATTTCCCTGGGCTTTTGTTAGAAATTTGCAAACTGTATGTTCATGGGAGATGCCTTCCAAAATACAATGTGAAGTTACCCACTTCAAAAACGGAGTCTGCAGTTACTACTGAGTGAGGAAAATGTCTGTTTCTCCTCATCATCTTTTCAGCTTAGCACTTGCAGACAGCTGAGACTTGGGGCTGTTGCTCACTTGACTCATGATAGTAATTTTCAGTAGCTGGTATTAATCAGTTTTCAGCAAAACGATGGTAGTCACTGAATCTCTTTCCGTTCATATCAAGTCACATGAGCTTCTGCCACCAGAGGTCCCCTGCCTGCTTCCTATGATACTCCTTATAAATCTTCTTTTCAGGTATTCATAGTTTTGAGCCTATCTGTGTTCTCCAGTACGTGTTTAAGATATGTATTTTTGTTGATTTTTGTTTTTCTTAAATAAATTATTTCAGAAACTTGATTTACAGTCCTCAGGCATTCACTTAGATGTGTATGCTGGATCTGCTGTGTGGTAAATATAAGTATTTGCTGCTAAGCATGCTTCCCTTTGTATTCCAAGCCTATCTTAAAAGTAAAGCTGGTAAAACAAGTAGATCTTTCCAAATTATTACTGAAAGGCTGAAATTCTGATGTGAAACATTTCTGTTTTCTAGTACAGCATAGCAAAATACTGTTTCAGATGCGTAGATGATGTTCTCAGTTGAAAGCATTTGCTTGCAGGCTGGGAGTTATTTCCCTCTTTGAAGACAGTTATATTATTGTGGTAAAACAACCTGAAGTATTCATTTTATTTTTTTAATGCGGTTTACGGGTGATGCCCACAGCTTCACCTATAATTATCTTCAGCGTCTGGCTTCATGTTTGTGCAGTCTAGTGATTTAAAGAATATTGTTCTAATCAGTGATTGAAATGAGTACTATTTTGTTGGCTAACGGAGTATGTCTTTTCCTTCCAACAGTGTACGTTTGAAGGATGTGGAAAGCGTTTTTCACTGGACTTCAATTTACGCACACATGTGCGAATTCATACTGGCGACAGGCCCTATGTTTGCCCATTTGACGGCTGCAATAAGAAGTTTGCGCAATCAACTAACCTGAAATCTCACATCTTAACACACGCTAAGGCCAAAAACAACCAGTGAGAGTTGGAGGAGAAAGTTCTTGAACTCACAAAGCATCTTACAGGAGTATGAATTGGAAATAAATACGCCTCCTCTTTGTATATTGTTTCTAGGAAAGAATTTTAAAAAAAGAACCCTACAAACCTAAAGGACATGTTTTGATAAGTAGTAAATAAAAAGCAAAAAACCCCACAAAAAAAACTTTAAGGTGACGTTGCTAAGATGCTCTACCTTGCTCTGTAATCCCGTTTCAAGAACACGGTGTTTTGTAAAGTATGGCCCCAGCCGAAGGGGTCAGTTCATGAACTTGCATCAAAAAAGACAATTCTTTATACAACAGTGCTAAAATTGGACTTCTTTTCACATTCTTATAAATATGAAGCTCACCTGTTGCTTACAATTTTTTTAATTTTGTATTTTCCAAGTGTGCATATTGTACACTTTTTGGGGATATGCGTGGTAATGCTATGTGTGATTTCTCTGGAGGTTGATAACTTTGCTTGCGGTAGATTTTCTTTAAAAGAATGGGCAGTTACATGCATACTTCAAAAGTATTTTCCTGTAAAGAAAAAAGTTATATAGGTTTTGTTTGCTATCTTAATTTTGGTTGTATTCTTTGATGTTAACACATTTTGTATAATTGTATCGTATAGCTGTAATGAAATCATGTAGTATCAAATATTAGATGTGATTTAATAGTGTTAATCAATTTAAACCCATTTTAGTCACTTTTTTTGGAGAAATACTGCCAGATGCTGATGTTCAGTGTAATTTCTTTGCCTGTTCAGTTACAGAAAGTGGTGCTCAGTTGTAGAATGTATTGTACAGGCACTGACCGTTAATTAACACCTGATAATATGTACATCCCATGTAAGAGAAAGGGCAACAATAAAACAGTGGTCCTAAAGAAAGAATATGGCAGAAAATGATCTGTAAGCACAGTCTGTTTTCTTTTGTTGTCCAGAGCAGTCCTAGTTCCTCTTGACCTCCCAGAAACTGGAAGCTAAATAAACTCAAGTTTCCTTTACTTTACATTCAATTACAATGATTTGTGATGAAATTACGTAATGCCACATCAGTTGGTATACCGAAACAGAATTGGTGACTGTAATTTTGGTTTTGAGTGACCTAGACTTCCATTAACTGGAATGATGGATTTGGAGACTTGGCAGTGTAGAGGGGAGTTTTCAGTGTGCCTGGACAGCAGCTAGGTAAAAGTGCAGTAAATAGGTAAATGAGCACCTTTGTTTAGTCAAGCTCCAGCATCTTGGAGGTTTAAATGCAATAACAGTAGAAAGTGGGGGAACGGTAGGGCTTGAGTGGCTGTACCAGAAAAAAAGAAAATTGTCTTTTTCTTTTGGCTAACTTGTTTGAGTATAATGATGAAAATTCTTGGAACCTTGTTGGACACCTTTTACTTCAAAACAGGAACTCGGAGTTCTCAGAGAACTTGATGGAGTTTTGATGGTCTAACTAACAGTGGCTACTACTCCTTTGTTCAAGTGTTCAAAGTAAATTTTCAGATGCTATAGTAAAATGTGACAGATTAATAAACATAAGAATATGCACAGAAATGCATAAGTATTATTTTTCAGAGGGATGTGACATAATGTATTGTAGTAAAAACTGTTGGTAATCTTTTTCTGAATTCTGTTCGTACAAAGTTCACAACATTTTTCATGGTTAATACTGTAAAACTTGTTTTTGAGTCCAGTTTTGGTGATAAAAGAAAAAACATTGGCAGTAACGAAACTACACTTAAGACCAAGGGAATTTTCATCCGTACATAAGTTAATCTGAACATTGCAGCTCTAGTCTGAGGTTGTTAGGGGTAGAAAGAAAGATGGGACATTTAATTGTAAAGTACACATTGGAATTTTGGCAGTGTTTGGTTTTTTTTTTTTGTATAAGCAGTTCTTGAACAGGACAATATACTGAAACTTGTATAGTTATAGTTAAATTAAATTCTGTATACAGTTGAATTAGTGTCTGTTCTTTTTGGAAGGAAATAAAATCAGTTCAGTCTAGTTCTGATCGACCTTACATTTTTTTCTTAAACAGTATATATGATGGTGTTAGGATTGTGCAGAAGTTTGCTTTCCTGTGTCATAAAGTGGTATTTGTTTTATTGAATTGCAAGGTAAAGAGATTACTTGATGGTGTCAGTACTTCATCCTTGAACATACTTTGAGACTAAATTATTTATGTTAAATACTGATTTGAGGATTAAATGGGAATTGAAACTTGTATTGCCCCTAGTTACATTGCATCTGATTAAGAAGAGGGGTTGGAAAAATGTTCACATAGGCCTCAAATCAGTAGGATTCAATACACTCCAAAGTAGCAACACTTAGTAGCATGAAAGAGCTTGCTTTGTAACTAGTTAATTGCGTATTGGGTATGAATAAATACTTGCATTGAGCAGCTTCTGTAAGTTATTTAAGCTTTTAAGATGTAATTGGCACATGTCATTCTTAAAACATCATGCTTAGTTGATTCCAGAGTTTTCCTTATGGATTTTCAGTGAAGAAATTACAGACTTTGAGAACAGAGTTGACTTTGAAACCACCATTGCCAGCCTACTACCATCGACATGTTCCTGCATTGTACCACCAATTTGTGAGCAAGTTCAGGTAAGAAGAGGAGAGTCTGAGGGGTGGGGGAAATACAGCCAGTGATTTTAAAGCTGGCCAAAGATGTAAGTGCTTACTCATCGCGCCTGTTCTGCTGCTTGTTTGATGGTCTCTTGCATATTGCCTTATCTGGTTCTCCTGCTGTTGAAGTGGAAGGAGGCAAATTCCGTAGCTGTGTATCTTTTGGACTCAGACCGTTTTGGTCAAACTGGCTATAGACTTTTCCAGCTATGTGTATTTGTGGTCTGCTAGTAGCAGTAGGTCCTGCTTTAAGTACAGGACAAACTGAACTTAAAGTAGCTATTACTTCTGGAGATGTTTTTTTCTTGAAAAGGATGTAGGAGGAGCCGAGGTACGGATTTGAAACACTAAGTGAAAAAATTCTTAGTGAAATGGAACCGAGAACTCCTTCCTCTCTGCCAGGACCTAAGCTGAATTTGCACTGGATTTTAGTTACCTTCTTTTTTGAAGAAGTTCCTTGTTGAATTGAGGTGGTGCAATCCAACACTTTTTTCCCCATAGTGGTCACAAATTGTCAATCAACAGAGGCAAATACTAAATAATTCTAGCAACATAGTTTGTCAGCAGTAATAACGGTTTTAAAGGCAGATGGAGATCCTTTTCCTCTGCTAATTCCACAGTAAGTAAAAACCAAAAGAAGCAATAGTTAACAGAAACAGCAAAATTATTGAGGCTTTGAAGTGTTTGAAGAAAGCTAATCCCTTCAAAGTGCTAGATGAAGAGGAATAGCAGTGGCAATAAAAGGTGTTTCCACGTGATAATGTGGTGCCTTACTGCTTTGAAGAAATGGAGAAAAATTGGTATTTTTGTCAGGGCTGCTAGGCACATCAGCCTGGGAAGTCTGAGTCAAGTGGTAGCCGTTTCTGGCATTGATTGATCCAGTTGTTCTATAATGATGATACTGGAATAGTAAGTTTTTCATCTGTACAGCTCCTTTCTTAAGTCTGTGTTACAGTGGCCTGAGAAGATGAGTAACTGAGAAGATGTCTGTGACAGCATTGAGCTTTGATTTAGTAACTACACTAGTGTTCCTGTATTGCTCAAAGCTATGGAGAAATCAAAAATCCTTCAGAAACCTAATTTGTAGTGGATTTCAAAACTGAGTGTTGGGTGTAAGTTTCGCGAGCAGGAATAAAAATAAAAGTTGGACTTGCATCTAATACAATTATTCATAGCTGTGTAAATGGAATAGTTAAAAAGTAGTGCTTTCTTTGAGAAGAGTGAAATGGTTTCTTGTATCAGCCGAGTTTGGCAGTCCCAGGGCAGAAGAATGGGAGAGATTCTGTGTTTGTTTTGATCATGATGCATTGGCTGAGTTTCAAGTTGCAAAAAGCTAATAGTGTGAAGGCGGCTGTATAGCAGTGCTTACATGTCACCGGGATGGCCACCACCTTCATTTTATACGGCAGTTTTAATCAGCCGTCCCTTAACTGTATTTCATTTTCTCTGCCGACATCACACCAGCTTAGGCAAGCTTGTGTACTCACAATCATCCTGTACTATTGAGGCACTTTTGCTTAGGATTTTTTTCAGTCCTTTCGTTTTTGTAGAAGTAGTCTGGAGAATATTGAATTTCTTCAGAATACATCACATTTGGTGTATGTGTTGATGTGAATTTTTCAGGTCCTGGCTTCCCCTAAAGTAGCAGAAAACCACCATTTTGCTGTAGGCAAATAAGTAAAATCATTTGTAGCAACTGTTGTTTAGACCACTCCAGTTTCAGTTTTTTAAGTCTTCTGTTGCATTTGTGGTTTGGTTTGGTTTTTGGTTGGGTTTTTTTTTGTTTGTTTTTGTTTTTTATTTTTTTCCAAATGGAAAAGCTTTAGGATCGGATGCTGGCTGGATACCATTCCTTCTGTTACATATTCAGGTGTGGACTTAATATCCCTCTTGTGAGCTGCTGCTCTCACTGGGTTCCTGTGTGAATTGGAAACTCTTGAGTAGCCAGCCTGAAGTTCTGTAGAAATGGTCAATTTTGGGAGGGAGGGAAAGGGATGGAGAGTATGTGGGGTCCTTGCAGGGCTTTTGGATGCTTCTCTTGCCACTGCTTTTATATTAAGTGTTCTTGAAGGCTTAAGTGTGATTTCTCTCTAATGGGGCTGATCTCAGTAACATCTCTGTCAGTGCTGTATTTCAGTCTGTACAGATGCTCGTGAACAGTGTTTGCCAGGAGATGGCAGTGAATTACCGTTTGTGCAGCGTGACCTGCAGGATGAACAGTAAAGCGTCAGGGTGGCCCTGTGAGGTCAAGTGTGTGCCGGGTGTCCTGCCGTGTTCAGCAGCCCTTGACAGACTTGGAACATGTCGGTGTCAAAGAGCAAGTTTCCCACACACCGGTGAGATGAATAAGAAGTACAGCTCTGTGATGACTTCTCAGAGTCCCAAGCCTACTTGTGCATTCGTAAAAAGCACCAGCAAGGCAATGAAAATTAAGCCTGTAAATAAAAACTGTTGAGTGTGACATGGATCGTATATTTTTAGGGGATCCATACATCCAGTATTAATATCAAATACCTTTAAAGAGAAATGTGGAAATCTAATGACATGTAGTGTAATGAAGGTGCTTTTAACTCTTAAGTGGCAATTATGGTTAGCTGATAGACGAGCAAAATACCAATGCTTCACTCCAGCAGTGGCTTCCTAAGAAATCTCAGCTCGCCTGAGGCAGTTAGGGCCTCTCCATTTGACTTTCCTTCAGTGTGTTGCTGCTCCTGATGTTTGCAAGGCCATCGCAGAGCCTGCCAGGCTTGTGTCTCAGCAGGGGGTCCTGCATTGTTGCTCTTTAGGGAACTGAAGATCTCAAGTAAACTGATTCTCTCTCTGGAGCAGCCCTGCAGTAAGGGTGTATTTCAGAGGGTTTTGTTTGTGGAACACTTACATTTTTAAGATAAGTCATAGAGCAGATAAAGACTGAGGTGTAACATGGGCTCCTTGTTAAATAGTGGGAAAATCCATAAACAAAAAAGCTTGGTGACTGGATATATCCTAATGTATTTCAGCTAAAACTCATCTCGGTGATCAATTGCAAGACAAATCTGTAGAAAAACATGTCTTACTAGTGTTTTGATTTAAGAGCTCAAAAAGTGAGATGTCCTTCAGAGCTGCAAGATGCTTGCCAGGAACCTCACTAATGTTGCCAATTGCAATTTTGCTTTGCAAAGTTTGTGACTGCCTCACACTTGGGGCACCATGCAGCTTATGTTTTGACTTATTTTTCAACACATTTCTTTCTTTCTCAGCAAAACAGAAGATTTGGCCTTTGAAGACTGAGGGATTCTATATCCCGTCTTAATCGGTGCTTTGACTGAACCTCCAAGGGATTTATCTGAATATAATGACTCCCATAGCTTGAAAAGGCATACAAATGTTTATGGTTTGGAAATGGATTGTAAGGAATCATACTATGGCAGGTTTTCTGCTTGTGTGGGATTTTTTGTTTGTTTTTATTCTTTC